GTGAGTCACATCTGGAGTTGCAGGAGCCCATGGAATTATTATAAGAAGTCTTCAAATCCTATGTACAACAATCATTATCTATACACCAAATACATAATAAATCTCATAAATATTTTCTACTTTTTAAATCAATAATGATTAAATCAAAATTCACTTAAAGCCCAAAATAAAGGGCGAGAGTAGGAAGGAAGAGAAATTATTGGGAGCAACATCCCTTTTAATCTAGATAAGCATTCTCTATAGACCTCTAAGGACCTGTTTCTGATCAAAACACATTCTTAATTTTGAATTACTAAGAATAACACCAAAACCAATCCAGGTTACCCATGGTTCTGCCTACGAGACCAGAAGGAAAATAAACTAATACCTTTCATTTAGCAATTCAACATCTTGGTACTCATAACCAATAAGTTTCACATTTTCTTCTGTAAGGCAAACGATCTCACTACTCATAATGGCCAAAGAACAAAGAAACGCAAACAAAAATAAAAATAAAAGCCGAAAATCTAAATGTCCAATAAAAGAAAAACAAATAAAATGCCATAAAGTCATCACATGGAATATAATGTACCTATACAAATGAATATAAAAGAATATTTAATTACATAAGATTGAGCATTCCTTACATAAAATGATTGGGACAAAAGTGTCTCAGACTTCAGAGTCTCAGATTTTGGAATATTTTCACAGGAATTACCAGTTGAGAATCTTTAATCCAGAAATAAAAAACCCAAAATGCTCCAAAGTCAAAAATAAAAAATCTGAAACTTGGGTGCTCAAAACCCTTTCAGATTTCAGAGCATGTCATACTCAACCAATGTATTAAAGAGCAAACAGAGGACAACACTGAATTGAAATATACATACAGACATAAAAGACTTACATAAAAATTACTAAATGGTTAACAATCTCTGGGTTAGGGATCAAGGTAATTTATACTTCATTTGCTACCAGATTCATACTTTGCAATTGTTCTAATAATTAACTGAAAGGACCTTTTTGCAATCGAAACAAAATACCTATTTATTCTTAAACATGAAATTTTAAAATTAGTTGTCAGGAGTTGAAACAAAGTCACCTGTCCTACCTGTCAACTTTTACTATATAAATTATTTAAGCCATTCAATAATATGTAAAGAATCAAGACTGGGAATGTGGCTCAAGTGGTACAGCAGCTGCCTGCCTAGCAAGCACAATGCCCTGAGTTCAAACTCCAACACAGCCCAAAAAAAAACAGCATCAAGATAAAATGTATCTAATGTCTTTTCCTCTCTCACTGTTCTAACTTTAGAGCCCTTCTCATCTGTATTCCCAGTAATGCATACGCCATCATGTAAAATACTAAAGGAGCTAAAGCAGCTTTTATAACAAGTCAGAAGACCCAAAATCAAAATCCTGACTCTTACGCTTTTAACTCTCAGACCTAAGCAAGTTAACTTACCTCTCTGAATCTGTTTCCTAGCTGTAAAATAATACTTATCTGAGTTTTTGTGAAGACTAAATCTAAGAATACATTCTAAGAGCTCAGTACAGAGCCTAAAGAATAAAAGGCACTCAATAAATGGTGCTTTTTAAATAAGAGAACTTGCCAAGCCTTTTGAAAACTAGATGGCCTTGTGCAAATAACACAAGTATTATGAATACTTGTGTTTTAACTCATTTAAGCCTCAGTTTCCTCCTTCTGCAGAACAGAGAATATCTTGCAGGTTTGTGCTAAGGATTAAAGAAATTATCACAAAACCCATCTTGTGTATAGGAGATGCTCAATAAATCAGTTAGCATCATTAACTACAATTAAAACATTTTCATATAATGATAAGCAGTTTACAAAACATTTTTTACATATAGTATATGCAATCCGATCAATTATCATTTTAATAAATGTATTTCTCTTAATTCCCAAATATGGTATAAATTTCAGGAAAAAATACAGGCAAACTCTTTTAAACACACTGAAAAATAAAAGACCAATTTGTTAGTTTCAAAGTAAAAATGTGTTATCTGCAACCAGATCTCTTTTAACATTTTTAAGATCCAAGTAAGTTCAAAAGAGTTAAAAGGAAAAATGTGTGCTTCTTCTGCCTTTAACAGAAGAAAAAAAAAATCCTAAATCCTCAGAAAGAAAACAAAGATTGGGATTTCTCTTTTTATTTTTTTTCATGACTTCACAGGTCTTTATACAACTAAAATTCAAGTGCTTTTAATAGAAGAATTCTTTCAAACCTCTAGTTTCCTGTGAATAGCTTTGTGCAAAAGCAGTAAAGTTCTACAGTAAGGACCATAGACTGTGGAGCCCTACTGCCTGGGTTCAAATCCTGACTCCACCTAGTTCTATGACCATAGCAAGTTCTAACCTCTTGGTGCCCGTTTCCTCATCAGGAAAATGGAGAGTCCTCAAAGAATTGTTTTAAAGATTAAATGAGTTAAAACACAAGTATTCATAATACCTTTCTAGCCACAGAAAGGTATTAAATGTTCACCATTTTTGTCATTATCACCACCTCAAAATACCTAGATCTCTTGTCAGTAAACATTTACTACTCTGTGGACAATTTCAACAAAGGGCTATAACTAAAATGAGATCTGTTTAGGAAGTTTTTTGTTTTTTTTTTTTTTTATCATGACTTCCATTGAGAAAAGATACAATTACCATTTGAGGGGATTTCAGAGCAAAAATAAGGAAAGTCAATCCCTTTCTCACACTTCCTGTCAGACAGCTACAACACACCTGCTAACCCAGTTTTACAACTGAGGCATGACACCCGTGAAAATTTTCATACTCAAGCTCTGTAATACTCAATACTCCTTCCAAAGAAAACGTTCAGATTACTCTTCAATTACAATAATCTAGTGTTTTAAAATAAAAACTATACTGCATCTATCAACAGAATGGCATCAGGATTAAATAAAATAAGAGTAAATGAAAGTGTCTGAAAGTTACCCGTATGTGTCAAATACTATTTTATCAACGTATGTGAGAAAACTACAGCAATGTCTTTCTCCAATTTCGGTCCAAAACTACGTCCTGTCTAATTCAAATCAGGAGCAGGATAACAAGACCTAAGTCAGATTAAAGTTGCACCAGATCATCTCCAACTAGAAATGCGTTCTTCCTTAAAATGTGTATACAACAAGTCACTCAGATGGGACTTGCGATATATGTCTCATGACTACGCCATAAGTTTAAAGGAATGACAACCTGGATATAGGCTAATTTAAGACCAGAAAAAGGACTTACAACTATTAGACCAAACACCACCACCTCACTTACCAAATGCCTGTGATGCTAACCTAGATATAGAAAATACACTCAACCAGCAAAACCCCTTTTTCCTTCCTATTATTGCTTATACTCTCTCTACAACAAAATTAGAGATAAGGGCAAAATAGTTTCTGCTGGGTATTGAGGGGGGGGATGCGGGAGGGGGTGGAGTGGGTGGTAAGGGAGGGGGTGGGGGCAGGGGGGAGAAATGAACCAAGCCTTGTATGCACATATGAATAATAAAAGAAAAATGAAAAAAAAGAAAAATAAAAAATAAAAATAAATTGTATAAAAAAAAAGAAAATACTGAAAATCTTCAGATTCAAAAACGAGTTAGCACTGAAAATCAGACATACTTAGGGCCACGTTTCAACTTCAGCTGAAGTTGGATTCCAGCATCACTGAGGGACGTTGTGATGCAGCAACCATCAATAAGCCACACAGGTCAGATCCGACACAGGTCACTCTTCACTGGGCCACTGAGTGCGTGACGGCCAACCCTTGACCTGATGAATAGGAGGATGGGCGGGTATCCAGAGACTTAAGAGTCTTCTAGCTACAGCTCCATTTGAGACTCTCGACTGATTTGTCCAAAGAAATCAAATTTGGGGGAATGTGGAATTCCTGAAGCACAGGTGAAAAACTTCTTTGTGAATACACTTCACAGATTTAGTTGTTTTATTTGTTTAGTAACTTAAAACGTAGTATTTAATGACTCGTTTTGTTCATAAACCATCTCTGGGCTTGTGAGATGGTGATTCGTGGGACACCTAACATTTTTTTTTCAGGATCTGCACAAATCTTAAACCAGTTTCTGTCTACATGTGAAACTGGAGTTCAGTGTACTCAAAGATAAGCTACAGATAACTAAGGAAGGAATCTGCCGAACAACATATGACAGCAATGCAATGGGAGGCTTTCTGACTAGAGCCTAAACTGGGGGAACCCAGACCGTGCCGGTGTTAGAAGTCAAGTTCATTCAAGTCAGACTTTCCCGTATCTGAGTCTCTGGGTTAGGACCGTGTGCACACAAACCCACCTTCCCTCGGGCCCCAATGTAACAGACTTCTTTGGGGACGCCCCCCCTTGCCACTCAGTCCCTACCCTTTCTTCAGACCCTTTCTGCCAGCCCTACAACTTCTCCCCAGGTCAGGACTCGCGAGGGGATTATTGCACAACTTCTCGGCCTCCCATGACTTTTGCCTCCTCCAGAGAGAATCACTTTTAACGAGCCGCTGCGCAACTCCTTCTCTCGGCTTTCCCCCGCCTCCTCGATCCCGGCAGCATTCGACCGAACGGCCCCCGACGCCGGCCACCCGGGACGACCCGAGACGGCGGGGCGCAGTCGGCCGGAGGACCGGACCCCGAACGCGGTGGCTCGGGCCCCGCCTCCCGCGCCCGCCCGCCCGCCCGCGCGCGTCCCCTACGCCAACCTCAACCTCAAAACTCCCACATCCCGGCGCCGCCGCGCTGGGCTCCCGCGTCCCCTGCGCCGCGCCGCCCAGGCCCGCCACACACCGGCCGCCACCACGAGCGAGCGAGCTCGCTCTCGGGACCGCAACCTTCCCTCAACCCGGCGGGCAGCGCTGTCGGCGGCTGCACGGAGACGCCAGAGGCCGCGCGTCCCCCTACAGGCCCCGCCTGGGCCTCTCGGCTCACCCAACCCGCCATTGCACCCTCGACCCAGCCGTACGCACGCCCAAGGGCCGGCAGCACGAGCCCGGGGCCCCGCACTTACTCGGGAAGGTAAGTGGAGGAGAAGGAGCTCCACTTGTGCAGCGCGTAGGGCAGAAGCCGGCACTCCGGCGCCGCAGCAACAGCCCCGCCAGCCGCCATCTTGTCAGCACCGTAGCGGCCGCCACCGACCGCCCGCCGCGCCGGGAGGAGGGGTGGGGGCGTGGCCTCTCTTAAAGGGGCCGCGGCCCGCGTCGCTCCGTCTGCCGCGCAGGGCGGGGGCGGCCGAGTCGGCCAGCCCAGGCTAAGTTTCCCACGCTGCCCCGTTCTAGGTGACCCACAGACACTGAGTCTGGGGGCGTGAGCGCTCGTGGGGCTCTTCTGGCAGGATGGGAGAGGAGTACTTCTTACCAGCAGACGTAAAGACAAAGCCGAGAACATTAGAAAAAGGAATGGTAGTGTCGGATTAAGAAGGGAAAAATGAGAAGACCAACTCGGAAAAAGGGACGCCTTTGCGACTTTGCAAAACCCTGCCTTTGCCGGTTTATAAATTCCTTGAGGAAACAGCACTGTAGAGAATTGGAGTACAATAACTTATGTCCTTATTCTAGAGTTGTCCTGGGAGAAAGATGTCTTTGTTACCCCGTTCCAGGGTCAGATGGAGACAGGAGAAGGAAATGCTGGCGTGTCCCCGTGGTCGGTTCTGTTTTCATTGTACACAGTTCTTGGGAACCCTGTCCTACTAATTGTATGGCATTGGTGCGCTCAGGAATGACGGTCACCTACAAACCAGAAAAATCCCGTGGGAACTTGTGCGTCATTTTTCAAGTTGGTAAATCTGCCCACTTTTAATTCTGTCCGAAATTTAACCCAAAAATTCTTGAGTTGGGGGGAGGAAGAAGACAGAACGAGGCTTCTTCGGAGAAGGAAAAGCAAGCAGCCCTGATGTTCTGAAACCCCTGTGGGCATCTTCCCAGTTTCTTATCACAAAATGAACACTCGGTCTAAATAGATGGCAGTGTTAGATAATGTTCCCATCCAATAGCTGTGGGTCAGGGTTATGCATAGCTAGTCCTTGTCTTAACACAGCATTACCAAAGTGGTGTCAAAAAAAGTCATTGCCTCCAGACATCATCTCCACCTGACCGAGGGAAAAACTCAAGCACAGAGTTTCTCAGTGAATGACCAGGTGAGTCAATAATTGTATTCTCTTTTGTTGTGATCCTTAACCTCCCCAAACGCCCTCCAATTCTTTTCCGACTTCCTGTTCCCATGGGGTGGGGTGGTTGTTTAGTATTGGCCTCCCCTAGAATACCAGATCAAGAATTCCCAAGAGGCACAATTGTTAACCTTGTCGATTGCACGTGCTCTGTGCTGAACCATGTTGGAAAAGTCTTTGATCCTGGAGGGAAGGCTGTAGCTAGCCCCTTGAGTTAGGGAATTGCCTGAGACCTGGAGAAAGGACCAGGAAAGGTCAGTCCCAGAGATGACCTGCCATAGTTATCTGTGGGGGAAAGAGATACTTTAAAGGGGAGCGATTAAGATGGAGACTTACTCCCGTTAGTTTGGGACCCAAAAAATTGGCTAATTCCACCCTCTGACCTTAATATTAGTAAGTCCTTGTTTTTTGTTTTTTGCTTTTCCAGATACAGAGTTATGGTTCCTCAGCAGTCTTTTTTTAAAAACATAGATAAGCCAGTTTTTCCTTAGTTTAAAACTTTTCACTGATTTTCTGTTCCCTTGTAAACCACTTAATAGAAGGGTCCTTCATTATCTCTGCAGCTTGTGTTCTCTCTCTGCCTCCTCTCTCCCTCTCCCTCTCCCTCTCTCTCCTTCTTTCTCTCTTCTTCTCCTTAGCACCCTTTTATTCCAGCCCCACTAGCATTCCAAATTGCTACCTCTATGTTCTGTTTTTATTTCTATACCTCCAGGACTTAGGCTAACCCAGGCCTGAATATTTCCCCCATATTTTACCTGGCTAACTCCTCATTCTTCAGATTATTTTATTCTGGGAAATCTTTCCTCATCACCCGTTTTGAGGCTAGGTGGCTTTCTCTACATTTCCCTTAGCGCCCTGGGTGCCCCCTTCTTAGCTTAACAAACATAACAATATGCTTTAATTTCCCCTTTATTTCTTCCTAAAAGATAACTCCCATGAAGGTAGAAGTCTTACGTATCTGATTCACAGTCTTATCTGTTGAACCTACATATAGACGCTCCATAAATACTTACTGAAGAGTGAATGAGTCATGCTATAAGAGAACTTGAATTAGACACTATGTGCAAAGGAAAAGAATGCCAAACTTCTCAGGCTACAAATCCATATCCCTGAGATATGATTGCCATACAGTTTCCTAGAGCACAAATCTCACAACTGGCCAAATAAGTTAAAGCATATCTACGTCAGCATAAATACAGGCACATCTATTAGGATACTGAACCCAACACTTGTATAATTATTAAGATAAAAATTGAATTCTAAAGAATATGAGAATTCTGCAGGAGGTTGATAGTAGTTAGACCCTCAGATCTCCTGGTGGGACATCTTTACTCCCTTCTTTCTGCCTTTAGGACCTGAGTTTAGCTGAAGGAGTTGTTTAGAAGGATACACAGAGAAGGCCTGGAAACTGATAGCAGCCATACAGTCTTCAAAGATCAGGACATACTGACAGGCTCAAGGAGAGCCTAGGGATCACCACTTTTCAGGAATCAGCAGCAGCTATGGGAACACAACAGCACCGCTATAGACCTTTTTGGTATGCTTTTTGTGTTGAATACTCCCCACACTGATTGTGTTTGGGGTTCTGCTATCTATCTTACTCTCTTGCTGCAAGAAAGACTTAATTAAGAGACTGTGACAGGATGTGCCAGGCCCTGTCCTAGATTCTGGTAAGACAGGATTAAGCAGATCAGCCACGCAAGGACCTCATCTCATCCAGCCTACATTCTAGTGGTGTAACATGTAATAAGTAATATAATTAATATAATATGTAAGTCAACTAGATGGTTTTAGTTTGTATGAAATACTAAAAGAAACAAAATCAGGGTAGTTCAGAGGAAAGCGTCTCTGTGAAGGTAATGCTTGAACTGATACCTGTACAATGAGAAAGAGCCAACCATGCAAAGACTGGGTAAAAAAAATTCCAGTCACGTGCTGGGTGCAGTGGCTCAAGCCTGTGATCCTAGCTGCTCGGGAGGCAGAGATCAGAAGATCATGTTTCGAGGCCAGCTAGGAAAAAAGGTAGCAAGACCCCATCTTAAGCAATGAATGGGCCTGGTGGTACATACTATAATTGCATCTCTGTGGGGAAACACAAATAGGAGGCTCATGGTCCAGGCCGGCCAAGACACTATAACAAAAACGACAAACAAGGTGGCTCGGGCAGTGCCACTTCATGCTTTGCAGGCATGAAGCACTGAGTTCAAACCCCAGTACCACCCAAGAAAAAAATAAAATCACAAAAGGACTAAGGGGCATGACTCAACACCTGCCTAGCAAGCATGAGGCCCTGAGTTCAACCTCCAAGTACTCCCAAAAAGCAAAATAAATAAGAAAATAACAAAATTCCAGGCAGAGGTTGGGACTCTGCCTGATACAGTGCCTTATCCAAAGAGATATAGCTAGTCAGTAATAGAGCCAGAATCTCTGGTTTGATCACATCACAGTTCTTCCCAAATGAGTTGAGATATGGGAATGAGTTTAGCAAACTATAAGAAATATTCAAATATACGATATCGTCAGACAATAATAAAGGCCTCCAGAGTTGAGAAACAAAACAAACACAGTTGAGTTTGTTTTCAGGTAAGAGACACACCAGTTGGCCGAGGTTAAAAGTCTGCTTTTCATCCTTAGTGAAGGGATTTCATAGTTATTATGCTTATTAGTCAGCTCATACACTGCTATAACAAAATACTTGAGACAGGGTAATTTATAAAGAACAGATTTACTTCTCACAGTTCTGAAAGCTATCAGTTCAAGATCAAGGTGTACCAGTAGGTTTAGGGTCTGGTGAGGGCCCAGCCTAGTCTCTGCTTCTTGTTGCTCCTCCTCTGGAGGGGAGGAGTGCTGTGTCCTCATATGGCGGAATAGGTGGGAAGGAAAAAAACAGAGCCTAGCCAGTTCCCTCCAGCCCTTTTATAAGAGTACTAATCCACTAGTTCACCCCTGTAATCCTAGCTACTCAGGAGGCAAAAATCAAGAGAATTGCAGTTTGAAGTCAGCCTGGCAAATAGTTCACAGACATTATTTCAAAAAAAAAAAAAATCAACCAAAAAAGAACTGGCAGAGTGGCTCAAGTGGTAGAGCAAGCATGAGCCTGAGTTTAAGCCCCAATGCTGATAAAAAGAAAAAAGCATAGCGTAATTATCTCCTGAAGGCACCACCTCTTAATAGGGTTGGATTGGGAATTAAGTTTTCACATGAATTCTGGAGGAAGTGCAGACATTCAAACCATAGCAAAGAATTGAAAACAGACACTGGAAATGGACTGGTGTAAATCCATAGCTCTGTACATGATTGGTTAAAACAAGGCCCAGAATTCATTAGTCAGGGAAAGAAATCTTCAGCCAGAAAGATACATAAGGGTCTTGCTTTAGCTTACCAGGATCTCTCAAAGCCCAGTCTCTATTTTCTGGATTAAGCCTTCCATGATTAGGACAAGTGAAGCACAGCACAGTACCAAATCAAAGTGCTATCCTCTTCCTCCACCGGAAATAAAAAAAAGCCCCTTTACAAAAGCATTCAAGATGAAGAAATGAATATCTACATATGCTAACTGTCATGCCAAGTCATTTACACTACTGAGCTGCTTGCAGACCTACACTTAGTGGGAAATTGTGCATTATTTTTATATTATCTGACATAAATTTTATTTTGTGTAATAAATTCTGTGCAAATAAATTTTACTGTTTTTCTCCTCTGTGACAAGCACATAGTAGGTACTCAGGAACTATTTCTGAAGTTGAATCTCCTAGTTCCTCCTGAGTTACTTCTCCTTTTATTTATTTATTTTTATTTATTTATTTATTTTGGGCAGTACTAGGGTTTGCATTTAGGGCCTCATGCTTGCCAGGCAGATAGCACCACCATGCCCGGCTTGTTGGTTGAGATGGGATCTGGATAACTTTTTTGCCTGGGTCAGACTTGACCCTTGATCCTCCCGAGTAGCTGGTCTTATAGGCTCAGCTTCTCATTAACTTATAATTGTGTTTAAACAAAATAAAACAACAAGAGATTGTTGAGGAATTATCCACAAATCAGAAAAATGGACAGAATTAAAGGCACAGAGGCTCCAGTCCATGTTTTGGTCAATAAATGAAGGGAAAAATC